CCCCTATACCCGCAACGTACCCTGGTCACTATCTAATATGCGCCGACCATACCTCCGTCTTTACATACCGCTAACGAGTCTAGGGAGACTCGCCTACGGCCTACTGCTAACCCTCAACCACATAATCAGATCATCACGTTGCACACCAACGGTCCCCCGGCCCCCCACTCCGCAGATCGGCCAGGCGACCGGCATACGCGCCGCTTCCCACAAATCCTCCGCGCCGTAAAAGGGGTATTTTCTCCGGCGACCACAACCCTCCACCGGCGCCCAACACTAATCTCGATCAAAAAAGGGGGCGTGCTTATTTGACTTTTCACCCGGAGATTTCTTTAAAGCGAGGGCGGGCGGGTGCTTCTTCTCATCTCTCTCTCTCTTCATCTGGACATGCCTTCATAGAAAAACTTTATCAAAGTACCCAGCGGATCACATCTCCTGAAATTCCTGCGCCTAGTTTTGAAAGCTCATTCAGGATCTATTAATTTTGACACATGTAAACAAATATTCCCCTAGTCTCACCCCTCCGATCATGACATCTACACTACCGTAGATTAGACCGCAACCCAATGGTTCGGACAGTTGCACACGCTACCGCTAACGTCCACTAACAGTTGAATGAGAGCAAACCTGAGATAGGGCCTACAGTTGAGCAGTTGGTCCGCGAGTTTAGGCGAGGTCTCCAGGCCAGGCGAAAAACCCGCGGCAACAACCCCGCCGAAAGGCGGCAGGTTCAGAACTTCTTAAGCAAGTCCTGAGATAGGGCGGGTGCTTTCAAGGCGACCCGGCGAAACGAGCATATGCGTACCTAATAAACAACTGATACGGAGCCGGGATCAAGGCTACCCTTCCGGTACCTTACCGAACCGCTCCCTACCCAGGGTAAAACAAAATTTTTTCCGGGGGCCCAGTCCCCAAGGCGAGACCATAGACCCTATTGTGGAGAGGTCAGGTGCGCGGGGAGGAAAGCAGTTGTGGAGCAGTTCAGGCGGGCCCGATGCCACCGTCAGCTAACAACCCCACGACCAACCACCGGCAACCAGAGATGGCAAGAGTTTTCCTGCAGGGAGGGGCTCCGCAATAAGGGCCAGCCGATGTGACGGACGCGGTCAGGGAATCGGCACCCTCAGCCAGTACACAGCGCGGGCACAGAGAAACGGTGGCGCCAAGCCGAATGATGGGAAGCGTCCAAGGGACGCCTTGCACCCATCACCCGTACCATGCCCGCGCCGACGCGGGACGAGACCACAGTGGCAAGCCAAAGCGCCCCAGCCAAGTACGGCAGAACAACACGAGGCGGGTACAACGTCGTAGCGTAAATATTCAATCAAAGGTCGAATTGCATCCCCTCAGTACACCAAACGTTTCGTTAACGCGTTGAGGGACCCACCAACAAACCAACACAGGGGCGACGCAAAAGCGGCCCGGCACCCGACGATAGTCCATACACACTTTGCGACACCTCGACCGCACACCCGACGGAACAGCAGGGAGGCGCACGCCCAAGCGATCCAAGTATAACGCTACGTTCAGCATCGACCCAAGGCGCTCCTCCTAAACTCATAACGCCCAGACCGGACACAGCACTCGACATCACCATCGACGTAACACCATACAGTACCACGTTCTCAACCACGGACCCACACAGCAACCATCGGACCCACATCACAACACCACACCAACCCCCACCCACCACACAACCAACGGACGCACACGAGATCGACCCACGGTTGTCTCCGAACGACACGGCAGCAACCCCACGAACCACGAACACACCCGCCACCACGAATAGAGACCAGCCAAACAGACCACACGGAAGCCCATGGCACGAGCCACAGCACACGCACACGACCACACAGACACCCACCGACAGACACACCACGAGTCACGCGAAAACACCAAAACAACAACAAAAAAACAAGCCACAACGCACAACCACACCCACCAGACCACCCCCCCCCCACCCCACCGTACCACCCACGCCCCACTGCAACCCACCACAGCAGCAACTACACACCGCCCCCAGCGCAAACAGCACCCAACCCCACCACCGATCACCACACCGACCACGACAGCAACGAAACGCACGCCCACAACCACCCCCAGCCAACCAACGCACGCCCCACCACCCACCACACGCCCCCCCACCCCCACCTACGACACACGAATTCACACACGACAGACCCGCACCCAAACAGCCCACCACACCACTCACACCCACACCCCACACAGCAGCGCGAACCCCCCAACACCACCACCGCCACCCGATAACCCCCCGCATCCCCACTCACGCGACACACCAGGCCAGGACCCCCACCTCAACCCACCCACCCCACACCCAAACACACACCACCACTACCCGACCAACCCTCATAACAACACTATCCGTCACACATGACACCACCCGCTCCCACAAACGTGAACCCCTCATCATCATCCCACCGCCACCCCCCCCACGCCCCCCACCCCCCACCACGCAGGGTGTACCACACTGCAGCTTCACACCCGCCCCCACCCCCAGAGCCACCCAGCACCGCTCAGCCCACACGACCCCACGATGCACACCCACCCACCACGCCCACTCCCCCCCCCATCACTACGAGCAATACATATATATATATATCTAGACGCTATATGCGAGAGACGTGCAGTGAGTGTTGTGTTATTCATGTTATCCGTATTTAATGAATAAATCTATCAGTTGTATAAATACTATATATAAAGACTTGCGTTCATTTCACTCTGGGTTTTCCTGCTACTGCATCACCGTCCTACCTTCGCGGTAGGAGCGAAAAATGATCCCGCAACAAATAAATTCCACGTGCTAACCACAGCGCGTGGGAAAATCCAGTGTGGTCACCCCTAGCGCCACCACACTATGGCATCATCCTATCCAATCACCGTCCTGGACATCATGCATCTCTATCCTTGAACCGACCCTACCAGCACTACTAGCGCTCGTAGACGTAGGGTCTATGTCCCCCTGACCTCAAGAAGCCAGGTCAAACAGAGGTCAAGGGGACATAGACCTTATATGCACTACTATAGCTCTAGGTGCCATCAGCTGTTGTCAGATGCACGCATATCATGAACGTATCAGGGTTCTACAGTTGGGTGAAAAGCTGAGGGATTGATTGTCATTACAGGAAACCCATCAGAACATTTCAATGAAGATGCACGTGTCTGAATTAACAACGACACAGATACAAGGTTAAAGTGCAACTGGGCCGATCCTTGCTCCGCAACTGGAGTACATGCACTCGGGCTACAGTACAGGGAGTAGCTAATCTATGTGTTATTGAAACATGCAACTAAAACGACCGTTACCAAAAGCGTAAAAACCTTCTCCTAATGGAAAGAGGCGACCCCACGGGCCGGCTTCATCGTCAGATTCTGCCGCAGACGAGTACACACCATCTAGCACCTCTAGGGTAGCCATGGTACTTTGAGAACATGGTTCTACAGTTACACCAGTGCATGCGTTTTCAGATAGGTTTGTTGGCGGTCCAGATTGGCTCATAACGCATGGATAATTTAAAAAGACCTATCAATTTGCGCGAAGAAACAAGACAAGATCGCAGACGAGATGCGGAATTTGTGCTGAGCGCGAGTAGTCTGATTATTCTGTAGACTGGTACTCGCTCCCACCTCGATTACTCGATGGGTTGCTCGATTACTCGACTACTCGACCCCCTTAAGCCGAGAGGTGGGACCGGGTACCAGTCTAATTATTCTGCGAATTGCAAGTACCGAAACGGCGCCGAAGAGACCGCAACGAACCGGAACGGAACGATACCAACTGAACCATAGATATACACAACACACTGATATAATTCTATCACAACTTTATATATTTATACTTATATATATTATAATCTATATTATATTATATATATATATATATCAGGAGTAGATAATAGGATATTGTAGATTATAGTAGATATATCCCTATTATCTGCTCCTACTCAACTGATCTATATATATATATATCATATATATATATATAAGTATATATATATATATTATATACATATAGTAAGGTAAAAGCGTTAGTAAAGCGTGAATAAACATTTTGACAATTATTCCTCTTCAAACACCTGATTTGCGTCGGGTTTCGTCACAATGTAACGGGCTTCTCTTTCGCGAGATTTCTCGCGTTTAATAAAGACGTGAACAGAAGCTTTCCCACCATCATCTCTGTGTATTTGTGGTCGAAGTTTTGAACTGTCACAACCTGAAAGGTGCTAACACACACACATCAGAAGTAATACGAACCTGACGTTAAGTTTGTGGGGCAGTATCAAATTGATTTATCGTGCACAACGGATTTGGTACTTGCTCACTATAGTAAAAGGCAGTCTATGTTNTAGACACACACACATACACTACACGCACGCACGCACGCACGCACGCACGCACGCACGCACACACACACAAGTCGGCGCTCTCTTCCTCTATCCGTCTATCTATTCCTCCGTCCGTTCGTCTATCTACCCCCTGTCAAACCGTCCACCTATCCTTCTGTCCATTTGCTCTTTATGTTAGCTAACCTCCACTTCCATGTCCACTAAACCGAAATATTTCCTTATCGAATATTTTTTTATGAAATATATTATTTTTAAAGATGTTGTGTTATAACTTATAGCTGCGCTTCCGTCCAATGTGCTACAGTGGCACAGTAGTTGTGTATACACTCAGGACGTACGTGAACATACATTTTGGTTATATAAATTAATATTATATTTACACATTACAATTGTAATACATCAATCCAATATTAACATTTCATATAATTGAGTTTAGCTCATTGATATATATATGCCACAATTAAAGAAAATTTTTGCTGCATCACAGAACATTCTGTTTTATAATTTGTTAACACAAATGAAAATAGACACGCTGCACATTTTTTAAGAATAACACGTTTTCATTACTGACATTGCAATCACTTGATGAACGGCTGATAGTTGAGCAAAATGATTAAAAAACACTACGTTATGCTTTCGGTAATTTTTGGTACTACCGGAAGCTTTTCCGCCAAATGAAGCTGCTGCTCTATTGTTTGCATGATTGATGATTAATCTTCGATGTTTTGCACGACATCTATAGCCTGTGACGACTGTAGAATGACATCAGTGGTTTTGCTGTCCATCACAAGGTAGGGTTGGTCGTACCGTGGTTGTTGGCGTTGTCCTCTACCCTCATCACGGTGAGCTCTTGTCGCACACTTACGTCCAGTGTCTGACCCGGACGCTGCAGGGTAGTGCGAAAAGTCTCCCAGTAGTCACGCAGGCGACCGCCAGAGCCCGAACAGAAGGCGCGGAAATCTGCCAACATCTTGTCCATGTAAGCCTCGTCGCCTGGTTAGAGAAAAGTAGTCAGTAGCTGGAGCGCGCACACGATCAGCTATTTGCGAAGCTTATGTGTGGGGTAAGCTATCACGCACGTGCACGACGGCAATTATATGTGCACACATCCGTAATGTGTAATGTGTAATGTGCAACACGAACGTAAACATATAGCATATTTGTTTTTCGGTTTGTATCGTATATGTGGCCCCGTTATAACGCGATCATTGAGGTCCATAAAATGTCATCGCAAAAAAAGCGGGGTTGCACTAAATCGGGGTTCAAGAAAATCAGGTATAAACTGACCCAAAGTTGAAGCAAATAAAAAGTCCAATGACTCATCGCGTTAAATCCGAATTTGCGATAAATCGGGGCGTGTATCAATCGGTATTTCACTGTATATATGTGTGTGTATATATATATATATATATATATATCAGGAGCTAATAATGACAAATATTGTCAATAATTTGTCATTATTAGCTCCTGATATATATATATATATCCGTCACATCACATCTGTCAGCCTGCCACTATCGAAGTTGTCATTCATCCGTCCACTAAAAGAGCTCGCTGTATGTAAGGTCTGACGGGCCTTACCCGTGTTGTTTGTACGCCACTTCTTGTTCAGCATGTAGTTCCAGGCCCAGAGGAAGCCGACCTCCTGCCGCATCTGCAAGCTGTTTCTCCTCACCCTCGTGCTCTGTCTGCGGATGTACTGATTGTGCGCGCTCGGCTCGGGCTGTTGAGCAAGCAGGCGCGAACACGTGTCAGCCGCACTAGTGCTAATTATAAGCCAATCCCGTTTTCGCTAGCAATTAAAAATCGATCGATTTTGCTAGACCTGGCCCTCTGTCGAATCCACGAGATAAATATGAGGATGGTGACTGTGAAGGAGTCCTATCCACTGCTAAGTACGTAACATATTCAGATGGTGACTGCGAAAGAGTCCTATCCACTGCTAAGCACGCGACATATTCGAATGGTGACAGTGAGGGAATCTTACTCACCGCAAAGTACATGACGTAGGTGGTTACTGTGAGGGAACCCTACCTACTGCTACTTATATGACGAGAGGATGGGGGCTGTGGAGTAGTCCTATCTATGGCAAAGTACAGAAGGCATGCATGGCAACTGTGACATAGTCTTACCCTTTCGTAAGCACAGGACATGAGCACAAACATGGCGCCTGTGACGTGAATGTACTGCGGTCCCACGCTGTTCGGCCCGGTCTCTCGCTCGTTGATGTATCGCATGAAGCCGAATCGGTGCAGTATATCTTCTTGCAGCTTGAACATGCCAACCTCATAATTCTCAACGTCACAGTCTGAAACGATGCGCGCGCGATGTATTTAGACGTCCAGGGCATTAATTGCACCTTCCGTTGGCATTGCAACGAAAAAGAAAGAGCCTCACAATTTCGCCACTGAGCAAGGTGCATTCACGAATGAATGTTAGTCTCCAAATTAGTCTCGGTAGTGTATCCGGCTTTTACCTTTGAATAGGTTTGGCATTTCTCTGTCGAAAAGACATGACACGTTGAGAGCCACGAAGATTGGTCCGCGCAGTGGGTCAGAATTTGGTGTCCAGGGCAACGCAAATGGGTCCATTGGAGTCGGTATCAGATGGAATCCACATGCTCCTGCCTTTCTGGCCCACACTTGCACCTAAAAAATGCGGGTTAAAAAAACTCGTAGACTTTTGCTAGCAAGCGATGTTTTTTTACTAGTAGAATGCATCACAACAATAGGTTGGCATATTTCTTCTCTAGTATGTCTGCTCTGCATCTCGCACAGCAAAGGATCTTGCATGAGAACCCCCCCCATCATTTTTCACGAGGGCTTGTGAATACCTGCTCGCCAAGGATACTGCCAGTTGCCACTAGCCACTTGACCACCAACTCATATGGCCTGTCCATGTAGTAGTTGCCTTGGTAACGGATGTTGACCCACTCGTTCCTGCAGCTCTTGCCAAGGCCATCGAGACTGATTTTCGTCACCTTAAAGGCACTAGCTACGCCTGAAATGTTCCAAGACGATATAAATCAGGATATGTAGTCAACATTCCCCCATATGCAGCGTGCTAAATGCATGCTTATGAGAAACTTGTGGTAGCAATCAAGTTATAAAATGATCTCCATGCTGTATCTGGTCACGGCTTCTTGCAGACGTTTTTTCGCCTCTCGTCTTATGGCATCTCGAAATCCTAATTGGCCAAAAACACATTTTATTCCATTATTTCAGAATTCATAGCTTTTTTCATATGTTTCAATGTGTTCATGGTGGTTGCATGAACCATTTCAAAAATAATTCTGATATATTTAAATGAGAACGTTTTTTTTACAAAAATAAAATATTAACATTATGGTCTATGCTACACTTCTTTATGCTAATTTAAGATAGCCTGTGTGCTGCCACGCATACACATCAATAACCAAATGCGGTAAAGAGTGTCGATGACACCATTCTTACCAGTGACATCTGAACCAGCACTGTCCACACTCTCGTCTGACCTCCATGACCGATTTTCTTCCACGTGAGGGTCTACCAATGGTGATGCCTTTCTTCTGACACCAGGTGTCACTGTGAAATCACCATGGCTGCTCGCATAGGCACTGTCTGGATGTAATGCAACCTCTACATGCTCGTGGCAGAAGTATGGGTTGAACACCGACTCGATACCTAGCACAAAATACACGGACACGCGTACTGTATATGCTGTATATTTTCGCAGTGGATTAATTTTCGCGAATTTCGCAAACGCGTCCCCGACCGTGAAAATAACAACACACGAACAGTTCATACCGAATAATATCGAATAATTCATAATTCACCGACCGCAAAATTAACCACTTGCGAAATTGTCCATCAAGTCTGAATTCGCGAAAAAATATCTGTACGCGAAAAATATGGCGTATACAGTAATCCATCTGATGACTCAGTTTATCACAGACGTAGGTCAAGACGTGCACCAATTATCTGCGTGTGATAAACAATAATGCATATCTGTATGATGAAAAAGAAAAATACTGCCATGACAGCTCTGGCGTGTAAACGTTCAAAGGGGTTAAGAAATACTGGTGCAGTTTTAAACGCTACATAAATACTACGTTCTAGTTAACTGCTATCATTCTATAGAATGGAAAGCGCATACTTATGGCCTGCATTCCTAGCATTGGCACTCTTGCTATCAACTGCTGAATGCCAGTCAACCCTTTGGCATTCCGTGTTGTTACTGGTAGTTATTGAACAAAAAAAATCAACTGAAACGGTTTACCGCATTGGCTCTCTTGTGTGGCGCATTCAGGCATTGTACTCAAAATTAATAGGTTGCAAGTATGCATACATATGCGTACAAGAAGCGTAGCTGACAACACTCCAGTGGGAAAAAGACGAAAAAGAGTTTTGACATTTTGATTGTGAAGCCATGCTGATAGAATTATGGGAGAGTGTGCAAAGCATTTTAGTATTATATGCAACCCAGTAATTTCAAAGCGTAAAAGAGGCATACGCAATGAGATCAATGAAGATATTAAAGGACACTTGCAGAAGAAGACGTGAAGGCAGACTTATAAAGCAAAAAATGATTTTCCATCACGAGTGATTTGAAAGGCAGCAGAAATAAGTGCATTTAAGTAAACCAAGCAGATTTAATGTAACCATGCATAGACATGCATAAACGGAATTTACAAAGATTAACAAACGCCATGTGAAACCAATGCAAAATCTCACCCATGTACCAGTGGTTACCTGCCCTTTTCCTAACGAGTTATAAGGATATCAGATTTAATTACATCATTCCATCAAATTAACATAACTTGCTCATCTCCTAAGTTCACTTCCTTTACTGCACATACTTACTGGCTGCAAGTTGATGAACGACAAAGTAGAGATAAAAGCCGTTGATGAATGGATGGTTGGCCTGACCAGATGCATGGCAAACCAAGCTTTCCTCTATCATTCTCTATATAAAAACACGCACAGACCAGCCAATAACTCTTCTAAAATAACGTAGAATGACTATCTCTTACTTTCTCCTCGTACGAACATCCATATCCCACTTACAGTAATTGACAAAAGTCGTTGTGAATTAATTATAACTTCGTTCTTAACAGAAGATTGAAAGTAACAGGAGTTAGAATTATTTCTCATGCTCATCTAATATGTCACGTAGTAATATAATTAGATTTGTTCGTGATTTATAACCAAAGAGGATGAGTAAATTATCGATAACAACCCGATTGAATGCATGCAGCCAGAGATGTGCATGAACAGCTCTGTTAGTGTGCATGAGAAATGATACATCGTACAACTTCAAACATGTCCACGTATTTTACAGTATGGGGCCTTTCAAATATACCGGTGTACGCAGTCAAATGTACGCAGTCTGGAGAGTAGACATGCCCCACGGCAGTGTCAGGTCTGATTGCATACCTGCATGATACAGATGGCATCACTGTCACTGACGACGCCTTCCACATATTCCTGTAGCCACGCCACTGCCTCCAGGCTCAAAAAGCAGTCAGCTGCTTAGGACAAAATAAGAACAACCTTCAGTGGATGACGCGGACAACGGTGATTAGAGACCCTGGAATGCCAGCAGTCATCAGACACCAATTTGCCGCGTGACCAATTTTTCCATCGTCGAATTCATGGCATTTTATCATGAATTATTTATTGCCCTATCGCAATTGAATTTTTTATTTGAAATGGCCTTGTGCTAACTTAGTTGAGGCTACGTGATCTCTGGTGGGTTGGACCCATCTGAGCACGTGTGAATTTCCTATTCGCACTGTGCCGCAAGTAAATTTTTTGACAAATGCAACGCACCTGGTAGCGACTTGTCTTTCTTTATGAAACTCAATCCGGTGTTCTCGTCTGCCAGCGCATCGAGGATTGCTGCAAGCGTAGAGCTCTTCTGCAATCGCTCGCTTTGGCTAACCACGGAGCTGAATTGATAACATGATGGCTTTTCAAATTAGTGCGAAAGAGAGAGAGAGGAGGAAGGGAGGGAGGAAGAGAGAGATAGAGAGCGAGAAAGAGGGAGGGAGAGAGGGGAAAAAAATATATAGAGAGAGAGAGGGGGAGGGAGGGAGAGAGAGAGGGGGAGGTAGGAAGAGAGAGAGAGAGAGAGAGATATAGAGAGTGAGTGTGAACGAAAGAGAGAGAGAGAGAGAGAGAGAAAAAGAGAGCGAGACAGAAAAGAGACAGAGAGAGAGAGAGAAGAGAAGAGAGCAGAGAGAGAGAGAGGAGAGAGCGAGAGAGAAAAGAGACACGAGGAGAGAAGAGAGAGAGAGAGAGAGAGAGAAGAGAGAAGAGAGGAGAGAGGAGAGAGAGAAAGAGTGAGAGAGAGAGAGAGAGAGAGAGAGAGAGAGAGAGAGAGAGAGAGAGAGAGAGAGACGAGAGAGAGAGAGAGAGAAGAGTGAGAGTGAGAGAGAGAGAGAGAGAGAGAGAGAAAGTGGGAAAAGAGAAACTCACCAAGTCTCATAATTTACTGGCGACGCATTACATGAAAAACATTCAATTGCTAACACTATCAATCTCCATGATGTTTCTCGGGGCTGATTTAAGAGGTATGACAAACAGCGCAGCTCATACATACAGCATTTTAAATGTGAGAATGGCCGACATCTTTCACTCTATATTAACCTGAAGGTTTCCTTAACATAAATAGTTCGCTACAAATTATCTTTACTACGCAGCGTCACCATCTGTCAACAGTGGATGACATTTAAGCAAATAATATCACTTAAAATATAACTGCGTTGTGCCCTAATAAACATTGGCCCACAACTTGGCCCATATGTTTAGGTGTGTAAGACCCCCCCCCCCCGGATCAGTATAATCAACACTTTATCAGTTACAGTGAGTGTGGGATCAAAACAAAAATACTGCAATGGACACGGAGGAGAGTCGAATATTCGGATCACTCACTAATCGCGAGTGAATGAATAAATATAATATATGTATTAAATACATTTTAATTTAAGTTTAGATTAAATTTTAATGAGCGTACTAAGTCGGCAACAAGAAAACGGAAAGACAGCAAACGGTACCCCCATGAATTATAGCAGAGAAACAATATTCCTAACTAAGAGTTTGGGGGTATATTAAGCAGGGATGAGATAATAGACTAGTAATTACTTTTCATGTATAACAATTACATTAAAAAATATACCCAATATGATATTCATGATGCACTCTCTTTAAGGGATTACAAGGCTTGAACCCACATTTATATGCCACTAAAGCTATGTAAAAATTATTTATATTGTGTTATATATATGTTATGTTATGCTATAAATATAGAACATTGTTTGCCAATGTATAGATTGTTTACATGAATGTATAGATACTGCATGAAATTAATTCTTCTCACTTCAAGTAAAGTTCGATAGCAAATATATTATTATTAAGCAATAATAATAATAATGATATATTATTATTATTAGTAGTAGTAGTATTATATTGGTTAATCACAATGGTATTATACAATCATACGTGGTGGAATGGATTCCATAATTGAGAAAAATTTATTTAGATTTCCATAAATGCCTAATTAAATAAGTGAAAGATAAAACACGAAATGCCAAAAAAACATACTTAGAACGCATAGATATCAGTTGTAATTCAATGGTTCTCTTTCAAGAAATATACAGAACATACAGCTACATACTCACAACGACAGATACACGAACACTCAAATCACAGCAAGCAACTGTGTCTTCCACAAGGCCACATTGAAAATAATTACACAAAATTGTGTTATGATTGTTAGTTGGGTATATCTCCTAGCTACGTTCTCAGTCTAGATTGATCATCCAGTCATATCTCCAGCATCAGTACTTGTAAGGGTCTTGAAACGAGGATCTGTCTACTCGCCAGTGTAGACAGTGTCTTGATCATTGAATCCCCAGATTGGCTCTTCGATATCGTAGTTGTACAGAGTCCTGGGCTGAGTGTACTCATGTCCCTCTCTACGAAAAAAAGAGAAGAAATGGTCAGCGGGAAGCAAAACGAGGCAGGCCGCATCATTTCACACTACCATCAATGCGTTACGTCATCCCGCCTAGTGCTTCTCTCGCTCGCAATTCCGACAAAACTTCAATCGGCTATTACAGCGCCGAAAACGCCGACGAGAAAAACGTACGAGAACGTAGTCGGCGCACGTATAAAGTTACGAAGCTGGCAGCCAGCGGCGGGAGGGGGGGGGAGCTCTCGCGAGCAGGCTTCTAGGTGACAACTTCTAGGTGAGTGTGTTCTAAGAGAGAGACTTACCTGTATCTGTACTCATAGCCTCTGCTCTTCTTGGCGTTCTCGGTGGCGTCGGCGTTGTCGCGGCTGAACAGCGATCCCGTCGCGGAGCCGGTCCTCGAGAACGTCAGCGTGGCACTGCGATCGCCGGATCCCCTCAGACCGCCACTGCTGATCGGGCCGTAGCGCGTCGTCGTGAAGAATTCCGGCGCGTCGGTGGCGCCATCTTCCAGCGTTCCCCTGATGGCTCCGCTTCCTGTGCCGAACTGCCCGCTGGTGAAGGTGCCTCCGCCGCTGGTGAAGCGGCCGGTGCCGCCGCCGCTGGTGAAGCGGCCGGTGCCACCGCCGCTGGTGAAGCGCTGCGTGCCGGTGATGGTGCCACCGCCGATCGCGCCCCTACCAAAGTTGCCGCCGGTGCCGGTGGTCCTGACGCTGAAGCCGCTCTGCTGGCCGCCCTGGCTGCCGCCTCCCTGGACGATGAATCTACGGCCGGTGCCGCTGCCTAGGCCGGTCGTCTGCTCCTCCGTAGTGGTGATGATGCGGCCGCCGCCCGTCTGGCCGCCCAGGCCGCCGCCCCTCTGGATGATGAATCCACCGCCGGTGCCGCTGCCTAGGCCGGTCGTCTGCTCCTCCCTAGTGGTGATGACTCGGCCGCCGCCAGTCTGGCCGCCGCCCGAGACGATGAATCTACCGCCGTCGCCGCCGCCGAAGGTGCCGCCCTCGCGCCGGGTCGTGAAGGTATCGATGCCGGTCAGCACGACAGGGCTGGTCTCCGAGACGGTGGTGACCACTGTCTCCCCGGCTCCCTGACCGCCGAGGCCGCCCCCTGCGCCGCCCGAGGTTTGGAAGCTGCGGAATGAGCCGCCGCCGCCGCCGCCGCCGAGAGAGCCGCCGCCGAGAGAGCCGCCGCCGAGAGAGCCACCACCGCTGCTGGAGGAGCTGAAACTGCTTCTGAAAGACCCACCGCCCGAGGAGCCAGACCTGAAACCGCGGCCCTGTCCACCGCCAAGGGTGAACGTTGATCCTCCGGTCTGTCTAAGGGCGCCAAGGTCATCCACGCCCAGGGCAATGCCCAGCAGAGCAAGAAAAACAAAGGCTGACTTCATTTTGCCTGAAACGAGAGAGAATTTCACATGATCGCACGGAATCTAGTAAGTGCAGAGCAGGCGTAACAGCTTAGTGGCTATTACTACGACCTGATGATAACTATACCCACAGCGCTACCATAACTCTACGCACTATTGTCATACTCCTTATTACACGTAGAATGCATATTCCGTGCACTATACTACACACTATACTCTCTCACGCTCTCCCCATTGAATATAAAATAAAACGCCATACCATTTAATTAATTAAAATAAACTGCAATCCTCTCTCCTAAATCCCATTATGATTACTAGAAATGACATCGTCTACCGCTTGCATTCACCTAACTTTAGCCAGCGAAAGTGGCAGAGACACGCAGACATTGCCAGTACAACTCGCATAAAAAAAAGTCTGACTAGCCTAAACTAAAAGCAACGATAAATCAACTCGGCAAGCGCCGCTCTCTACTCACCTCGAGTGGAATGCCGGGTCGTGGATGCTGTGAGGTGAGAGTGGATCCCCAGTCGAGGCACGGCTGCGGCTTATATACCGTTACTCGCCAGCCAATTACGCTGTGCAAGCCAGTGGAACGCGTCGCCCGAGGGGGCCCGAGCGAAGCGGCAAGCCGAAAAATGCGACGATGACAGCTAATGACGATGGTAGCCGGGGCGGGCCTGCGCCCGCTTACCTGCGCCAGCTTAACGTGCTTATCCGTTTTTCGGCGAACAAAAGCTCTCATTGACTGCCACGGCGGTGGCTCGTCGCTGCCCGCGGGGGCCAGCGCGCGTGTAGCACCACAGTCACTTGAAGCGTTTCAATAAAATATAATGCTAAATAAATGCGAAATCTATTTACTACCAAATTCTTAATGTTTATATATACTCTCTTTCACCATTTCGTATTTATTTAGCATTATATTTTAATGAAATGCTTCAAGTGCCTGTGTGTAGCACCTTCATAAAGTACCGCAAACGCACGCGTACGTATATACGTACACGCGCGCACGCACGTACGTTTTCGTACACACGCACGCGCACGTGTACACCGATGTGCTCACGCACACACACGCGTGCACTCACGCACACACACACGCACGCACACACACACCCATACACACACGCGCGCACACACACACACATACACACACGCGCGCGCACACGCACTCGCACACGCACGCACGCGCGCACGCACACACACACACACACACACACACACACACACCACACACACACAATCATGCGTGTGCACTATATTCTAACTACGCTAAAATAAGAACCCTACACAATAAGGCGATACGTGTAGCGTCCCGATCGGACAGACACACGCATACCCACCGCAATGTCACGTTGCACATGTAACAGCAATCATAGTCATACACACATACGCCCACACACGCACACGCACGCACGGACGCACACACGCGCACACGCACACGCACACATACACACACACACACACGTGCACACACGCACGCACGCACGCACACACACACACACACACGCGCGCGCGCACGCACGCACACACACACACACACGCAAGCACGCACCGCACGCACGCACGCACGCACGCACGCACGCACGCACGCACGCACGCACGCACGCACACACACACATACGCACTCATGCGCACACACAGACAATGACGCGTGTGCACACTAACCTAACCCAGCTAAAATAAATAAGAACCCTACACCTCACACGCATGCCCACCGCAATGTCACGTTGTACATCGCAACGGCAATCGCGGCCACTCGCACGCACGCACGCACGCACGCACGCACGCACGCACGCACACACACGCACACACACACACACACACACACACACACATACACCACACACCGACACACGCACACACACACACACACACATACAAATTCTGGCAGAACAGGGTATCTTAATTGGCACAAATTAATCGCCTAACGCAATGACACCTGCCAGGACAAGCGACTGTCAGGGATGACAGAAAAAAGCGCCATTAAAGAACACTCCTTCTCAGTAAGGGCATACCTGCTATACAATAATGCACAACGCACGCACGCTGGCTAGGCGCTTTGCAGTACTAATGGCCAGAGCGACATTGACACACGTCACAGCAACGAACTAAATTGATAATTTTGGACAGCTGAGGTGAGCTGAATTTCTGTATAGCATAGTATATTCTGTGAGCATATACAAGCAGCCAATCGCAATAGGCGTTGTATCACCTCTAAATTGTCCACACCCCACAAACTTGTTGCTGCGCCTAAAGCCTCGGTCACAGCGAACCCACGACGCATTTGTGTCACGACACGACAGAAAATTTGGGCAAATCGTGGGTCATCGAGGGTCGTCGCAAGATAGTCCTACGAAATTTTGAGCATCGTGGCATCGACTTGCCGTCGTGAGGCAAAATTGAACATGCACCTTTTTTGTTCCACGATTTTTGTGTGGTATCTATGTCTTCTGGTTGTCGTTAGTCTGTCCTACTACTGACTTACGTACTGACTTGCGACACACCCACGACATAACCACAGCATATATTTTTTTCTGCCGCGTCCCCATCGCCAAACCATCTTTAATGTGTCGTAACCCTTGTGAACACTCGAAATACATTTCGGGCATGTTGCAAGATCTGGCCACGACAAATATTTTATGGGTCTACTACAACAAAATTTCGTACGATCCGTTGTGCCCGGGGCTTAAATGTAAAGGATCGGCTGCACAAAACACGATAGGCAGTTCGCAGAACTAAATATACCTACTTCTTAATTATATAGCTTAAGCTCAAGGACACACGACAAAATTGAGGATGCGCGCACGCGCGCGCGCTAGCTATATAATAGATACATAAAGTGGAGAGTTTCCAACTTATTATTGTGAGAAAAGATTTTCTGCATTTCACTCGCGTTTCTCTATTATTTTGCTTCGATTGACAAACTTAGTGTGAACAGTTGTTAAATAGGTCCAACGAAAATCACACGCAGTTTACGTTTAACAGAAACATGAATGCTGTTTTGTTATTATGCGTAGAGGAGTGGTGTGTGACCAAGAGCGAACACATTGAATAACGCTGGGCCACCCCATCGGTCGCCCTTGGGACCTCAGTTAGGCGAGGTATCACAACATTCACAGTGCGTGCGTGCAAGGCTGTTTCTCGGCAAATCACGCTTTTTCACTCAAGACGAGAACTCGGACCGTATGAGGCCTCGTGTTTCCCTAGCAACCAGATGACATTCCTGGTGGCCTTTATCTCCACAGCTCTGAGCTAGTCAACAAGCAATATCAGGAGGGTGTCCTTGAACGACCCCTCATTGTCCTGCTTACCACAGCGGTCCCGCCAATGGGCGTTGCTGAATGCAGGTGCACAAGCCAGCCGAGCTCCCGTTTTCTGCTAAAATGATAATCTAGTGGGGCTTGCAAATCGTAATTCCTCATCGTAGGTACTTGCAAATACACTTCCCCGCCTACATCAAGCAAAAACGCGTGCCGACTTGCAGCGACAACTAAGCGGTTTTTTCACTATTTCCAACTGCAACCATTTCAACTATGTTCTACCTCCTCCCCTAGCTACCTTCCTGTTCTACCTCCTCCCATAGCTGCCTTCATGTTCTACCTCCTCCCCTAGCTACCTTCATGTTCTACCTCCTCCCCTAGCTGCCTTCATGTTCTACCTCCTCCCCTAGCTGCCTTCATGTTCTACCTCCTCCCCTAGCTGCCTTCATGTTCTACCTCCTCCCCTAGCTGCCACCCTGTTCTACCTCCTCCCCTAGCTGCCTTCATGTTCTACCTCCTCCCCTAGCTGCCTTCATGTTCTACCTCCTTCCCTAGCTGCCACCCTGTTCTACCTTATTACTTAGCTGATACCCTGTTCCATCTTTTCATAATGGCTGTATCCCGCCCTACTTCTTTCCATGTTAATTTATTATATGTTGCCAGCATTCCCTGGCCTTGCTGCCCACTCACGCTGGCCTAAATATCACTTCACCAAATCCAAACTCTTAAATCTCGGCTCCCATATTATTTTTAGCATTTTTCAAAACGGTTTATTCATGTCGAAGAATCGCACGCTGAGATTTTACGCTTGACAGGTTTACAAGTATCCGCTGATCCCAGGCCTCCCCAAGGTCACTCCCAAGGCCATTAGCAACAGTAAATTAGAAAAAAATAACTGCTATCCTTCACACAATCGTAACGGGTGCAGTGAGCCTTGCGCTTGGGACTTTTCGCTTTAGTCGCAACAGCAGCGGATCTTTTTTCGTTTCCAGTCGCCGCCAAAAGCCACTGCGCCCATTGATCAAGTAACATGCCCACTCGCCTTAATTACAGGGTGGGTAGAAACGGAAAATACCTGTTCGACTCGTGGTAATGGAAAACCAGAAAGAAAAAAAACTAGTTCTGAACCAGCACACCCATCGCTACGAAGGTCAGGAGGAAAAACTCCAGCCAGATTCACACGGATTTGCTAAGAGCCAAGCAGCCAGCAAACATGGTGAAAATTACTGATTTTACGATATGTCCCGATTGTTCGGACTAGCGTCCCAGAATTACCTTGGGGGATCGGACCGTTCCACAAAACAGGATTGATAAAAACTGTACAATCATTAATTTCTACGTTAGAAGTTGCTGTTCATGGCCTGAATTAAATAGATCCAGCCATGTTCTCAGCAAATTTGACTCCGTATTTGATAATTAGGTAAATATTCAAACATGAGAATTTGTAGTGGCGATTGATCAGGTAGTGGAAAGTGATAATATTGGGTTTTATGATAATACCTATTTGCATGTATACGTGCATTACAAGAGAGTAAAATATTGCAGGTCAACCCATTTTAATGTAGTATATTAGTGGGGAGCGATACGATCTATCTATCAATCCATCCATCCATCAATATATATATATATATATATATATATATATATATATATATATAGTGCATTGTCAAAATAAGTGTGTTTGCCTTATACCGTTACACAAAAAAGCCAAACTGCATTTTCTTGTTTTTTCTCAAGCTTGTGTGCACATTTGCAGTCAACAAGAAGTACACAAACATGCTCATTATCCCACAAACCAAACCTATAAACGTATATAAACTGCGAAGGGTTGGTCTGCATAATTTAAAACGCAATGGTGCTCGTGTGAAAGAATGCACTCTGCGACAGTAGAATAGGTATAATAACAGTGTGTAAAATACCTGTCTGCAGCGGTGCCCTCGTTCCCCACTGAAAGGTTGGGTGTCATCCCGGCACTCCCTGTCCCATCGCCCGTGGCAACTGTGGCAGCACCCTCTACTGGCACAATGAAAGGATCACCAGGTGCTATGACGAGCAATGGCGTGAATGTGGTTTCAATCTGTACCTGAAAACATTAGAAGAATGTATGCATGGAATCGAAAAATCTCTCTCTCTCTCTCTCTCATCTCTACTCTTCCTCTCTTCCCTCCTGCCCTCCCTCACCGTCCCTGCCTCGCCTCTCTCTCTCTCATCTCATCTCTCTCTCTCTCTCTCATCGCTCTCTCTCTCTCTGACTCTTTCCATCTCCCTCTCTCAAATACTCTCTGCTTTCCCATCACTTCGTCTCTGCGTCTGGTCTGTCTGTGACCACGTGTGTGCGTGGAAGGCAAGATACTTATTTCTAATCTGTCTCTCCATCAATAACCCCGATCTTCTCTTTATGTGGCTTTCTTTCTCTCCTCTCCGAGGTCGCTCTCCCTACATTTCCGTCCACCCTCTTCATCTCTTATAACTCTACATCTATTTTTATTCTACGCTAATTAACTCCTTAATTTATCCACCTACCCTCATAACAACCCTGTTCATTAGGCTGCAAATTTCACAGTAAATCAGCTAAATCATTAAACGCATGAAAGTAATGCCCCTAAAAATAACCTAACCGATCCTTAATAATAAATTCAGTATTCATACTACACTACACTCTGCAAGAGGAGACGGTAGTACAATGTTAATCCAGGAGTACAACGATGAATAAGGTATAATAATATTAGCATATATAATATATAATAATAATAAATATATAGCCTAGTAATGATACGAGGAATAATAGATAATATTAACATGATTAATATTAATTATAATTAATATATTAATAATTATTATTATATAATTATCTATGTAAACTAAAAAAAAAACTACAATTACATTAACTAAAAGTATTGAAATGATAATTGAATTAGATATATATATATTAATTATAATAATATGGGGGTAATACGCCGTATATAATATATTACGTGATTATACTAGATATAGCGGCTAAGTAGCTATATTATAATAGCCTAGGTATATATAGGCCTAATATTATCTCTCCTGAAGTGTTATACTGTACGACAGGTGTGTATGGAACCCGACGAGGTTGGCGGCTGTGCGACTGCTTGTGTCTGGTTTTCTGCTCACCGCTA